GTGTGTGTGTGTGTGTGTGTGTGTGTGTGTGTGTGTGTGTGTGTGCAGGGCTGAGGCTGCCGACACCGTGGAGAACGTGGACATGAGTCTGGAGGAGCTCCAGCAGCTGCTGCTCAGGAGCCATCAGCAGGGTGCCGAGGCCGGAGTCAGCGCCGTTCTGGATGTGAGTGGACGTGCGACATCAGCCGAAACCACGAGCTGAAGTTTCAGATGACATTTTCTGTTCTGATCAGTCACTGATTTATACTGGGAAACCACAGGCTAAATGAGCTGAACAATAGCTAATATAGACAGAGCGATAACTAAAATGAACAGAACTGAAGCTTAAAAGGCAAGAACAGCTACAATGAATAGAACACTAGCTAAAATAGGCAGAACGGAAGCTAAAATGGCGGAACAGCAGCTAAAATGGGCCGATTTAAAGCCTAAATGAGCAGAACAGCAGCTAAAATGAGTAGAACATTAGCTAAAAGGCAGAATAGTAGCTTAACTGAGCAGAACTGTAGTTAATATGAGCAGAACTGAAGCTAAAATGAGTAGAACTGAAGCTAAAAAGGCAAGAACAGCTAGATTGAATAGAACAATAGCTAAAACAGGCAGAACAGCAGCTAAAATGGGCCAATTTAAAGCCTAAATGAGCAGAACAGCAGCTAAAATGAGTAGAACATTAGCTAAAAGGCAGAATAGTAGCTAAACTGAGCAGAACTGTNTAGCTAAAAGGCAGAATAGTAGCTAAACTGAGCAGAACTGTAGTTAATATGAGCAGAACAATAGCTAAAATGAGCAGAACAGCAGCTAAAATGAGCAGAACAGCAGCTAAAATGGGTAAAACAGAGGTTAAACAAAGCAAAGCAGGTACTAAAAGCAGCTGCAGTTCTTCTCTGACATCACAGCTGATGTTTTGCTGTTGTGCTAACATGCTAACACTCACCTGTAGCTCCTGAACAGCAAACCAAAAAACAACCTGCTGCTACTTAATCTGTTAATTCTTAGATTATTTTAGACGTGTTGATGAACAGTTTCTTTGTTGTTGTTTCCTGATATAAAGGGACAGATGTTTTATTATTAATTCTAACATAATATCTGAGTCTTCGCCTGTTTTATTGTTAACTTTGTGTCTCTTTAGCCTTTCAGTTTGAGCCTGCAGCTGAACGAGTGGAACTTCACAGAGATGGAGTCCAACATAAAACCAGTAAGTCTGTAAATGTTCCTCCGTCCTGTTGAGCGTTAAAACACTGATGTTAGCTAAGTTAGCTCCTGTGAGCGACGGCACAAAAATAATAAAGTCATCCTCATGTTTTCAACGATGAAGTGTTGAAAAGTAAAGAATATGATGAACGATTCACAGACTGAAGAGTTTTATAGAACAGTGCAGCTGAGCAGGGAGGTTCTAAACTAACAAACAGAGACGGTTCAATCATTAAATGTAATTTGTTTTTGGCTTTAATTTGTCAGCTGAAATGATTTTATCGTTAGCGCAGCGGAGAGGAGGACGACCTGTGAATTTCTTTCATCATCCAGCAGTAAAAAACAGACACTCAGAAGAAAACCTGCTTTTCTTTGCAGCCTCAGAGACCGGCTCTGAAGGGTTACAGGAATCCACGTCTCTGTGCTCCGATTCTTCGGCCAGTTCAAGTTAAATAGATTTAAAAGGATCCACGATTAGTTGTAACATTGGACTTTGTTTGGTAAACATTTATTTTAACTTTAAAATAAAGACTGTAAAAATACTGTTTAGCATACGTAGTGTAGTTTTTATATTTTTTAAACTAAATTTTAAAAAATTTATTACACGGACGGAGCCATTTTATTTACATGCAAAGCATTCTGGGTAAATTATGCTTGTTATTATGTCGCGCTAGCACTGAGCTAATACGTATGATGCTACGTTCACACCAAACGTGATTTCAGCGTCAGCAGCAGCAGGTTTACATACAAAGTCTATGGTGGACGCGCTTCAATCAGTGTCGGGAAGTGCTGCTGCGCCTCAAGCGCGATTAGAGCAGCGCGATTTGAACGATTTGAACGATTTGAACGATCTGAGCGTTCGACGCGTTGAGGTGCAAATCACTGAAGTTAGAAAATCTGAACTTTTGCAGCTCGACGCGCTGCAGCAACCAATCAGAGAGACTCCACTGTGTGACGTAGTGACATATTTCCCGACGGGACAGTTTACTGAATGATGTCCACTAACCTGAAACAGATGGAGAGGAGCTCTTTAGCTGAAATCGAGTGCCTGCAGTCGGTGTCCTGACAGAGATATCCTCACCAATGCGTGGCAGCGACTCATCAGACTGGACTCGGGACAAAAATAGTCCTGAAAGCGAGCTGTGAGCCTCTACTCTGAATCCTGGGTGATGAAACTCAGAATGTCTCTGAA